AAAGTAAAATCTGTATTGTCCTTTACTTTCTGAAAGAATGAGGGAATTGTTATGCAGCTAGTCGAGGACAGCAACTACTCCAGATTAAGCACAGAAGTGGCTGAGAAGAGCCATCAACCGAGGTTTGTGCTTCCGTTGCTCATTTTCTTATATGGTTGGTAAACATTTCGCATGATATTTGCTAACAACAGGAACATGAGAGGAGAGGAACTCCAGGAATTGAGTATTGAAGAGTTGCAAAAGTTAGAGAAATCGCTTGAAACCGAGTTGAGCTGTGTGATAGAGAAAAAGGTCAATGCTTAAGATTGTGGACTTTTAAATAGGAATTCTTATATTTGGCCTTGATAGAGGATTGTTGTTTTTACAGGATGAAAAAATCAAGAAAGAGATCAATCAGCTTAATCAAAAGGTTCGTATGCAAACTTGTTAATACGATCTCAAGAGGAAACCCGTCATGTTGAATATTAGTATTTGTTACAATGAAATGGTTCAAAATCGAATTTAAACAAGTTGAATCATGAGATTTTCATGTGAATATAGTCTTAACATTATGAAATGTACAGGGAATGCAACTCATGGAAGAGAATGACCGCCTAAGACTGCAGGTATGAACCGAAAAGAATAAATATGTGCACTTCAGAGTGCATGTGCACATAATTTAAGGGAAAACTGAAGTTTTTTTTTTGTTTGGTTTGTCAAAGGTGGATATATCGAAAGGTCAGAAAAACACTGCTGCATCTGATACAGTGAACATAGTCGAGGAGGAAGGTCAATCATCGGAGTCTGTTACTAATGCTGGTAACTCGAAGGGCCCTCTGCAAGATTCTGATAGCTCATATATGTCTCTCAAGCTCGGATGAGAGCGTTGCTGTTTCCTTTTTTATTTTTTCTTATGCTATTACCAAGTAAAAACAAATTCAACTAGGTAACAATAAATAAGCTTGGTAATGTGATAACTGCAATAAAAGGCTTCCTGGCTTTACATCTAATGGCAAGCTGAGCAATGTGTAATGCTAATGCATATGGAATAGTACTCAACAATATCAAGGAAACAAAATAAGATAAAATCTTATTTATTATACTATAATCAGTTGGATGCTTTTGCACCATGAAGTCATAGTGCTGTGTGCAAAACTGAATAGAACTTTCTACCTTTTTTCGTTGTTTTTCATCATAAACTATTATCTTGCAGGCTGCCATACTTGAGCTGGGAAAAAAAAAGGAGCTAAGCTTATAAAACAGGCCCTAAATATGGATGCTCTAAATATACTTGCCCTTCTGTGTTTCTGACTTAAAATATAGATTTATGAACAGAAAACTGATAACTAAGTGTTGGGTTTTGATAACCAATAAATCTCGGGCTAATGATGTTATTCGGTTTTTTAGTTAGATTATACTTATAGGCCGATGAGTGAAGTGAAATGTCGATACCATAATCAAACCAATCGAATCACGTAATCCACTTGGACCATTTGAAACAATCTAATTAATTAGAGTTGCTCATGACCCAACCCAAATACTTGGATGACTTTAAGATGTTAGCCCACTTATCCCTTTTCTTATTGAGCCTATTACTTGACCTAAAAGCATAACCCATTCCTAACCTACTTATGTTTGTTGCTCTCTACTAATTTGTGTGTGAAAAAAAGTTGCAGCCGTCCGCTTTTCTTTCGGGAAAAGAAAACTGGTTTCTTGCTTTGGCTTAGTGCAATCTCGGCTGTGTGCCTCTCTCTTGCAAGACCTGTTTTTGTTTCTCCTCTGCCTAGCCTTTGTGGCTGGTCTTCTTGGCTGTAACCTTTCCACCTTTTAGTCCTTTGAGTGCCATCAAATCGGAGCAACCATATTTTTTTGGGGAAGTTGCTTCGGTTTGGAGATTAATTGGTTGATTGTGGTGGTCGATTCTTGATTAGCTGAGTCCGGATCTTGGAGTAATAGAAGGAAATAATCAACATACGGTATCAGGGCGTTAGGTGGTGATTTTTTCAGCCAAAAACCGTCTTCTGGGTGGCAGGTGCGTGCGGCGTCTTCTGGAGGAGGTTCCTTCTAGCAGTTTGTTTACTTTGATTTCCTGAACATACTGCTATTTTTGTTTTAGTGTTTCAGGTTACACAGGAAAAGTTGGACAATTTTGCCCTTGGTGGGTACGACAATCGAGCTGCAAAATATTTATTGAATTACTTTAGGCCAAAAATTGCAGCCCTAAAGCAATAAACTCTCATCTCTTACAATTTATGGACTCAGATAGGTCCGCTCTGGTAAATTGGCTTATCCCGTTTAATTCCAGCATTAGCGCATCATCTTGTGGGGTGACATTATGATTGGAGTTACCGTGAAGGGGTAACCATTGCTTGTGCTAAAATTTTAGGAATTTGTTGCTCTATTTGAAGTGTTGAATTTGATTGCAAGTTGGTAATTGCGTTTGTGCTACAACTGTTGTTTAGTCACCGTGTGAGACTGCATTGCGTGAAAATTTTGAATTTTTTTATATATCTTCGTGCTGCACTGATTATCCTGTTAGAACACCTTGGACTTGACCCGTTCGAATGTTCCCTTGATCTGAGATTTTGAGTCTCACGAAACCTGGGAATCTAGAATGGTGTATATTGCTACCTATGATTACTTTGTGTGATCTATTTGTGCAATTTTGGTAGTTTTGTTTTTCAAAATAACTTCACATTTCGAAATTTGGATTTT